AATTTACGTCGCACCCTACCAGGTCCGACGTAAAAAAGACGCAAATTTGAATAAGAGAGCGCGAGGCACACCGCGCGCATTCACTTTTCATTTTTTTCTCTGTAAACCCTCTTCCTCTTCGTTGTGTAAATCCCTCCGCCTCCTACTCCTTCGGTCCTTCCTTCCTTATAATTTTTCTATCATTCAGTCTCCGTTCATACGACAAAAACAAGCAGTTTGCGTTCATACGACTAAATGTGTATTTTGAACTTATTATGTGTGTTTCTTTATATATTTTGAGTAGGAACAACCAGTGGCTGAAGCCAAGCCTGAGGAGAACAGAGAAGAGAAGCGATTCTGGGAAGAAAAGCGATTTCTGGGAGGAAAACGCAGAAGAAAAGCGATTTCTGGGAAGCAGAACGGGCCGTTCTGCAAGGAGAACGGCCCGTTCTCCAAGCAGTATGGGCCGTTCTCCAAACAGAATGCCCCGTTCTGCAAGGAGAACGGGCCGTTCTCCAAGTAGAACGGGCCGTTCTGCTGCATTATTTTTCTTTTTTTTTTTAAAATTTTTACGATTTTTTACGTCGGACCTGGGTATGTCCGACGTAAATTTACGTCGGTTTTTGACCCCCGACGTAAATTTTACGTCTCCCGCTTCTACGTCGGACGTTTCCCTGACGTAAAAACCCCTAAATAACCGACGTAAAAAGGGTCTTTTGTACTAGTGTTTCGATTATCCATTTGTGTGACTTCCATATAAAAACAACAATTTTATGATTTCTAGTAAGTTTCGGTTAATAATAAAATATATATTTAAAGAAATTGTTCTTAGCATTTATCATTTTTAAAGTGTTTATTCCGAAAGGATTTTGACACAAGATAAAACTAAACTCTTAGTAAATAGTAATAGTTGGAAGTTGATTTTTCGTGAATTTTTTTTTCTTCCGCATAGACTTGAATATGTTATTTTTTGTGTAACATGTTTGGATCAATAAAATTTCTAACATACACACCCTACAAATTGAGGGCATCAATTAGTGTGATGCCAATGTTGGCAAATTAATGTTTTGGTATGTATTAGTGTACCGTGGTGGTGTCCTCTTGGCCGACCCGAGGCACATCAGCAAAATGACGAGCCCATAATAGGGACCCAAATATGGGAAGATTCACTTGCTCACTCAGACAATCAATAAGATCCCACAATCCGTGGGAACGGTAATAAATACCGGGAGTTACGAGTCCATAATGAGACGTGATTTATGGGATCATAAAGAGGAGTGTGCGATTCATGTCTGTAACGCTACACCATTATATATAGCAATGATTAGGTCTAAGAAGGCAGTTTTACTCTCATTGAATGTTCTAGGTCAAGACTGCTGTCAAGTTCTTTTAGCTCGGTATCGCTAAGGGTTCTTCGGCGGCGGTCTCCAATACCGGAACATTTTGGCGCCCACCGTGGGGCAGGTAAAACTGCATCCCACACCTTTGTTGTTTGACGTGAGCAGAAGGTCGCAATGACGAGGATTCTGAGAAGCAATGCGACAAGAGCTAGTAACGACGACGTCAATGGTGCCATAACTGGGAGCGCCAGCGGAATTGAAAATCCCATTCCCGCCGTCGGCGGCCACACTCTAGAAGAAATCTTGGCCGCAATAGAAACCTTGCAACGAGAGAACGAAGAAGAGCGAAGCAGAGAAGGAAGTGTCGTCGCCGGCGACGGAACAGATTTCCCGAATGTCTGATGGCGCCATTACCGGCCGAGCAAACCGGTGAATTAGCGCCCTCCGAGTCCCAGAGATCCATTCCCACGCCGTTTCTCACAAAGACGTACCAGCTCGTCGACGATCCCGCCGCGGATGACCTAATTTCCTGGAACGAAGATGGCACCAGCTTCATCGTTCGGCGACCCGCCGAATTCACACGGGATTTGCTTCCCAAGTACTTCAAACACAACAACTTTTCTAGTTTCGTCCGTCAGCTTAACACCTATGGATTTCGGAAGGTTGTCCCTGACCGTTGGGAATTCGCTAACGACTACTTCCGGCGAGGCAAGAGAGGTCTTCTCCGCGACATACAGCGCCAGAAAATATTGCCGGTACCAGCGGCGGCAACAGTAACCACAGCGAACGCGGTAACGGTGGCGGTGGCGGCACCGGCGGTGAGAACGGTGTCCCCGACGACTTCCAGCGACGAACAGGTACTATCGTCGAACTCATCTCCGATTGATGGGAGTGGGAATAATAATAATACAGTGCACCGCACCACGAGTTGCACCACTGCGGCCGAGCTGTTAGAAGAGAATGAAAGGCTTAGGAAGAAGCGCGGCAGCGAGAAGGTGAAGCCGAACAACTGTATCGACAGAATCACGCGGATATGTATGATCGAGGTCAACCAAAAGGCGTCAAGGAGATGCCATGAGGATAGCATGAGTAAAAAGAAAACATTGAAGGTCACCAAACCTCCATACCAGGTATAATTTCTAAACCTTGATCTGATAGAGGATACCCACAACAAAATTCTTAAATTATCCACACTGAATATCACAGAGTGGTTCAGAAATATACCAGCAGCAGCTAAGTGCTTTCACAGGGGCAGGGAAATTAAAAGCTAAAGAAAAATCAAAATTGTAATTTCGAATTCTAGATGCAATTATTATCTTATCTTTCATGACCAACTTCTTGGGCCCTATTAACAATCGCCAAATTAAAGTTGCTTCCAATGTTCTGCTTCCTTTTTTGAGTTATGTTCTTGTCATTGATGTGGTTCTCATCGACTTTCACTTAACATCATAGTGGTTCATTATTTCTGCTAAAATAACGTAACCCATATCTAGTGGTGTTCTTTAAGCAAACTCGAGCAAAATGATGCCACCAAGTGCCTCGTGTTTCCTGAGCCACACGTTTGAGGAGATAAATGCCAAAGCACTGGATCTCAAATCCAAAACAATTGGTTACGGGGAATATGAACATTTATTTTGCAACACGTGACCGCTGATCCGATTGGTTATATGCTTCAATTGTCGTAGGTTGCTTCCTAGAGCAACTATTTTATGAAAACTTTTCATTCATGGCATTATACTTTATTCTTATTTTTAATTTAATATAATATAAATACTATGCTTGAATAATCATGTCAATTATAAAAATAAATAATTCAACTACTGAATAACTGAGGGTGTGAAACGATAACGATGATAATCGGGAATACAAGGTTCAATTGAGGCGTGAAGGTTCAATTAAGGTCGGAAATTAGACGATCAAAACCTTGGTGTGAAGAGAACTTTAAGGTCGGAATTTTTACGATCTATACCTTAGCGTGAAAAACGTTTTAAGGTCGGAATTTTCACGATCTATACCTTGGCGTGAAAATCGTTTTAAGATCGGAATTCTTTACAATCTATGCCTTGGCGTGAAGAGCGCTTTAAGGTCGGAATTTTTATGATCTATACCTTGGCGTCCAAAGCGCTTTAAGGTCGGAGTTTTTACAATCTATACCTTGGCGTGAAGAGCGCTTTAAGGTCGGAATTTTGACGATCAAAACCTTGGCGTGAAAAGCGTTTTAAGGTCGGAATTTTTACAATCTATACCTTGGCGTGAAGAGCGCTTTAAGGTCGCAATTTTTATGATCTATGCCTTGGCGTCCAAAGCGCTTTAAGGTCGGAGTTTTTACAATCTATACCTTGGCGTCAAAAGCGTTTTAAGCTCGGAATTTTTATGATCTCAACCTTGGTGCAAAGAGCGCCTTAAGGTTAGAATTTTTACGATCGAAACCTTGGTGTGAAGAGCGCCTTAAGGTTAGAATTTAGAAGACCCGAACCTCGGTGTGAAGAGAACTTTAAGGTCGGAATTTAGACGATCAAGACCTTGGTGTGAAGAGTGCCTTAAGGTTAGAATTTAGAAGACCCGAACCTCGGTGTGAAGAGAACTTTAAGGTCGGAATTTAGACGATCAAGACCTTGGTGTGAAGAGTGCCTTAAGGTTAGAATTTAGAAGACCCGAACCTCGGTGTGAAGAGCACTTTAAGGTCGAAATTTTGACGATCAAAACCTTAGTGTGAAGAACACTTTAAGGTCGGTGCAAAGAGCACTTTAAGGTCGGAAATTAAACGATCAACATAAATCAAGTCAAACGGTGCGCCCCAAGTTGCGACCCAAAGTAGGTCAACAAAATGCCTATCTAACATGCTCTTCACACCTTAGTGCTCGAGCATGGAGGGCTATGTACCATGAAGGTCTTCCATAGACTGACCAAAGCAGGTCGGCAAAATGTTGATCCAACATGCTCTTCGCACCTTAGTGCTCGAGCATGGAGGGCTATGTACCGTGGCGGTCTCCCATGAGCCGACCCGAGGTAGTGATAGACTATGGCCAAGGCCAAGGAATCCAAGAGGAGATACATTAAAAGAACCAAGAGGAATGGGATGATTTTGAAGACCTTTTTCATATGTTGTAAATATCTTGTACATAGTTTCTTTTGTATAGGTTATTTTTGCCTTTGTATTTGTAAGGCACTTTATTTCCCTTTTTAGTAGCTATTGTATATTGATTCTAGGGTAGGTTACTTGGACACTTTGACTCCATTTAACCTAACCTAGAAATACATTCTTTTCTTAGTTTTCTAGTAGGAGTGGCATTAGCAAATTAGAGAGTGTCCTTAGTAAGCTAGAGAGTGCTCCTAGCAATTTAGCCAAAGGTGGTCCTAGGCTAAATTTTTCATATTGGACTCATTTTACTCCTAATTTTTCATAGATTTGATTTAGCTAGGTTCCATTCCCATTGAATGAACCTAACTAAACCAAATTAACCATTTTCAAATCAAAAGGAGTAAATTAATTCCAAGAAGCCACCCACCTTAGAAGTGTGTTCACACTTGTGTTCACACTTGTGTGAACACTTGTGTTCACACTTGGACGAAATTCATGGAGTTTCTTAAGCTTGGAAGCTTGAAGCACAAGCTTCTCCTTGGCTAGCTTACCAAGCAAGCCAAGTGAGAAGCTTGCTCTCCAAGCCTCTTGACCTTGGACGGTTTATCTAGACTCAACCATGGTTCCTAGTGAACCATGGTCAAGACTAGCTTGCTCTCTAAGTTTCCTACTCCTATAAACTTGTAATTCTTTGATTGTAAAACACTTTTGAACAATTTGAGAAATGAAATCTGAATTTTCTCTCTAAATCAAGAGTCACAAAAACCGAAGAGAACTTTCTCTCCTAAGTTCTCTCCAAAGGTGCTTCAACCTTACCTTGGTTCCTTAAGCTTCTACCTCAAGCTAAGGAGTAACCCACCTTGAGGCTTCTCCTCCATTGAAGACCTCTTCATGGAGCTTCAAGCTTCTTCCAAAGGTCTACCTCAAGAGTTCACGGTCCTAAGCATGGAGCAAACTGAAGGAACATCAATCTCCTCACCTAGTTCCATCAGGTAGGTTTACAAAATATTGATCCAACATACTCTTCGCACCTTAGTGCTCGAGCATGGAGGGCTATGTACCGTGGTGGTCTCCCATAGACCGACCAAAGCAGGTCGGCAAAATGTTGATCCAACATGCCCTTCGCACCTTAGTGCTCGAGCATGGAGGGCTATGTACCGTGGTGGTCTCCCATGAGCCGACCCGAGGTAGTTTGACAAAATATTGATCTAACATGCTCTTCGCACCTTAGTGCTTGAGCATGGAGGGCTATGTACCGTGGTGGTCTCCCCTTGGCTGACCCGAGGCACATCAGCAAAATGACGAGCCCATAATAGGGACCCAAATATGGGAAGATTCACTTGCTCACTCAGACAATCAATAAGATCCCACAATCCGTGGGAACGGTAATAAATACTGGGAGTTACGAGTCCATAATGAGGCGTGATTTATGGGATCATAAAGAGGAGTGTGCGATTCATGTCTGTAACACTACACCATTATATATAGCAATGATTAGGTCTAAGAAGGCAATTTTACTCTCATTGAATGTTCTAGGTCAAGACTGCTGTCAAGTTCTTTTAGCTCGGTATCGCTAAGGGTTCTTCGGCGGCGGTCTCCAATACCGGAACAATTAGTATACTTTTCTTTTTTGGTGAGGTGTTAAGGAAGACTCCATGAAAGGTGTCATATTTACACCAGCTAGATAGATTGAATGGGGGAGCTGTTGTGGGAGAGATTAGCAGAAGGTTCTCTTCAAATGAAAACACATTGACAATTGGATTGAATGTTCTTATGTGGTTGATCCTCATACAGTTGTGAAGGCAATAAGCTGAACAACCATGGCAACCTTGGGGCTTTATTGCAGCATCAGCTTACGTGTGAGTCATTCTTCACAATCTCGGGCGCTTTTGAAACAAAGGATTTGGACAAGAGCCCCAAGTTTGGTTTCTCACTCTTGCTCAAAGCCTTCAACCCTTCATGGATTCATGAACTGAGGTAATATATTAAGTATATTTTCAAAGTAATTAATAAGTAATTTATTATATTTTAATTTTGGACACAATATTTTAATGTACTAATTGAATAAATATTATATATGATCATATGCTTATAGAATTAATAATAAATACAAAAAGAATGTAATGAGTCTAGACTTTGAATATAATAATATTTTGGCCAAAAAAATTGATTGAAAGAAGAAACAAGTTTCTTAAGTCATTCATGATAGGTTTATTTGATAGAGTTTGACAATAATATCATACTAGAGTTAACCAAGAGCTATAACGATGGAAGAAAATGTTATATGTTCTTTTAATAGTTTTTGAAAATAAAATATTATTTCATACTATCTAAATGTTAAAAGGTGTTGTTAGACGCTTACCTTGATTAATATATTAATTTGATTAACATTAATTTTACGAAGTCACGTATAAATGAATGTTCCAATCTTTATTAAAGAAATTATTTTAATATTTGATAATTAAATAAAAGTATTTAATTTGATCAAATTAAATAAATAATTTTAAAGTAAAATATTGTTATATTCTTTACTGACACTTAGAGTATAGATAATATAAAATATAAATTATTTGAAATGTTTTTTTTTTAATTTCATGTCGAAGAAATTAGTTGATAAAGAATATACTATATTAGACTTGGTCAAAGTTGTTTCTAATGCTAAAATTAATTAGCAATAGAAAAGAAACAAATATTCAAATTGTTTTCATTGTATTTGTGATAAGAAAAACAAGATGCAAATTTTAAAGGTATTTACTTTCATATTTTTTATTTTTATTTGAAAAGCAAGATTTTATTTTTGACAAATAAGATGAAGTATGTTAATGGTTTCCTAATTTTTAGGAAAAATGGTTCTTAATTATGCTATAAGTTTAGCTTTGTGATACATAGAAAAATAAACTCCACTACTATCTTTTCTATCTCTTTTCAAATAGTTTGCAAGCATTAAAACATTTTAAGGTTTGTATTTAATTCGGTTTCACTAGTCAAAGAATTTGAAAACAAATATTGGTCTTGATGTAGATACACATAAAATCTTCACATCATTGAAATATAGTTGATAGTCTCATAAAGGATTATTCTATAATTTTATCTATTTTAATACCTATTTTAAATATAAAAGATTTATTTAATTCAAATATATTATTCTATAATGTTATCTATTTTAATACCTATTTTAA